TCAGTGCAACAGAGTGAAATCAGCAGCAGGAATGCCTAAAGCGCTGCCTGCACAAATGCAAACATGTTAAGATGTATGCACACAATCAAAACAGGGGACCCACTCGTGAAAACACTGCTCCATAGCGCTCCTAGTGGCAAAAAACTCTGCAGCGTACCTTTAATTTAATTTTTTACTTTAAGGCACAAAACAGCAAGAGGGTTCTGTTACTACGCTCGTTTTGCTTTCAGACTGCCAATCTTCTTAGCAATGGTCTTCTTTGTTCCCAGTAATTATCCTAATGCCTTGAAAACTTCAGCCCATTCAGGCAGTTGACTCACAGCTGCACCTCCTCCTCTGCCACCCTGCTCCTCTCAGAAAAAACAAAGACACTCAATTGGATTCTCAATCAAGTCCCCCCCTTTTTTTTTCTGGGATGTCGCCAACGGCATGTGGCATACATGCAACTCTGTGAGTGTGTGTGTGTGTGTGTGTGTGTGAAGGCAAACATACAGGCACACACACACAGCCAGTGCAACTATAAGTCATTGAGATCCTTCTGTAAGACACACTCAGGCCATGTGGGGTGTCAGGCAATCTGTGCTGCTGCCTGAGCTCTAATCTTCTGAGAGTTTAGAGGACTTCCGATCTGTATCGCAGTCTTCTGTCAGGCTCTTAAAATAAATGGCAATGTGTCGTGCCAAACTTCTACAGAGGCATCTACTATTTAGCTATTACTGGGATTACTTTTTTTTAGCCTTTACTTGTCCATAGCGTCAGCGGTTTGTGGCTTTAGGACACAAACCACTTAGTCACAGTCTACTATATTCAACCTTAAGGAAATAGCCTCAGTTATAGGTTACTTTTAGGGGACAAAAAGAGATATACGGCTCCAAAAACACACTTTAAAAAAACAATATCTCTGTTTATACCTGCATCCCAGACTTTTCTAATATCTATTTATGGTGCCTTTGATCCTCCAAGAAGCTGAAGGCCCTAACTCGGCCTAAAAGCTCTCTGATTTCGGATTTGTTCAGTTCTTCTCTGTGTGGGGCTTTGGGGTCACAGCATGAGGAGCTTACTGCCCTGCTGCTCTCTGGATGTCCGTCGAACTGGATCAGCTGAGCAGCAGACCAATACACAATTTGCCTGTCAGTGGAACAATCCATAAGAGATTATTTTTAGACCATGGACATGTATCTGCCGAGACCTCGCTGGGTTTAGGACTAAGATAATACAACAACTGAAATCTTTTGTTTGTTGCAGTGTTTGGAAATGTTGTAATTAGTGCCAAACAAAGGTGTATGCATGTTTTATGGTCCGACTGAGCAACTGCAATATTTAACAGGAGCTCTGAACCCATCGGTGGAGCTCACTTGGAGAGCGAGATAAGGCGTATCTTTACCATCTTAATTGATCCGTTACTGTCACAGTTCAGCCTGAATGTAAGGAGCAGCTCTCTTCAGCTTACAGCCACAAACCCATAAAACACGTAATAAAATGAGAATTTAATATGTAAGAGGGCAATCAATAATATCTTCCTAGCATCTTAATATAATTAAAATATGTAAATTTCTTTATAATAGTCAGAATGTCCAGGAGCCAAAGATGCTAAATTCATGTGACTGCGTGGTTCATATATGAGCAAACAGCTGAAATTACCCATGTACGCGTGACAGACCACAACAGCATGATGGGAAGATCTTTGAAGTGGAACAGGAGGCTCATTATGAAGATGATTATGTCAGTGGATCGTTTAAGGAAAAATGGTGACTTATATAGCAGTTGTATCAATACAGACACTGTATAATACCAGACATTTCACACATCTGTGCTTAATATGATGGCTGTAATGAATGATGCAGTTAATAGTGTAGTGAGGGTGTTTTTCTTGGCAGGAGGAACGGTGGATGTCAAAGCTCCTCTATGTGAAACAGGATCGTAATGCTGTGGAGAATCCTAACAATGTTCTATGGCAACAGGTTTCACTGACAGTGTACATTCATATTTTTTTGAGAGGTCACAGAAAAATGAAAGAACTGGATGTTTTTTAGGTGCCCCCCAAGCAGCACATTGGGTAAATGTCAGCTATGGATGAAACTGGATATAATGTCATGCAATATCCCTGAGGCAGCTCCTTCAATATGGCATAATTCACCTTTCACATATTTCCCCTAGCCCTATACTTATAACGCAGTTTATTTAAGTAGACTCTGCTTAAAGCGAAGGATTTTCTGGTTAAATGAATTCAAGAAGTTTTTGCTTTTTTGGCATAAAAATTAATACAATTACTGCATGCATGGTACAGTCATTTAAATCGAAAGATAAATAACAGGTTAAATAAATAGATTTACTTTGGAGTTTTCATCTCCGCATTTAGGTTTATAGCAAGTCTGCGATGCATTTCACAAATTACAGGATAACAGCACACTGAGATTGCCTTCATTTCCCAAGATTCTCTTCAGGCCGTTGCCAACTTCATCAACATCCTGGTTTGCCTAAATCTAATGTGAAAATAACTGAACAAAAAAGGTCAACAATAAGTCAACAAACTGTCTATTCTAAAGTTTGTTAACTGTAGCTAGAGTTAACCGCCATAAGCTACTGGTCATACCAGACCAAGATGAGGATGTAGATGAAAAACTCCTGTAAGGTACTGAGCAAGAGTGTTTCTTTTTGTTTATGGATCCAACATTTCATTAATAAGAGGAATACAGTGTCATTTCTTCCTGTGAAGGTTACATACTCTCGCTTTAAGTGCAACACAAATTGTGTTCATTAAAAAAACATATTGATAATATATGATGATATATTGTTAACATTGGCTCAGTTGTGCAGAGGATTCAGTATTTTCTACAGTAATAAATGTTATTTGAACTGCTACTTGTGAAAGTTAAATGATATTTTCCTTTGTTTGTAGGTAAGTGGGACAGCATAATATGTGGAGGACAGAGCGTCTTCGGCACTCACCGCAACAACAAAGTGCTGACACGAACTCTGGCAAGTGGGCGAGCTTTCCACTTTACTGTGCCATGAGTTAACGCAGTTCATCATTCAGCTTGATTTTTTAGTCTGGACACGAACTGACTGGCCGATTGGTTTCTCCCACTGGGTTTGAGTTTGCCAACTTGCACTTTTGTCCAATTTCTTCATATTTTATACTGAAGAAGTGATGAAGGTACAACTCTTACTATGCGGTCATCTGTACAGTGACCTGTTGTTAATATAATTACACAAAATATGTCAAATATAGTTTTTACCTGACTTTGAAAGCCTCCAAACTTAGTATGTGTTTCTTTGCCTTCATTTTTTCTTCTACGGTCCCCTTCCCCTTTCGTACTAGTGAAAGGTGGGTGTCACTTTCCTGTTATCATCCAAATCCATCCTCTTGTTTCTCAAAGTTTATTATCTATATCTATGCTCTCAACAACATCCTAATCTGTCAGTCTGCTTTTAGATATGTTTCATTGTATATGAGTTTATATTATTATGGTTTAGTACTATTCTATATTTTTTCACCATACATGGATGCTCTGCTTTATTATTTGTCCCCGTCAGAATAACCAGAGATCAACGGCAAAGAGATCCGTACGACGGCACGTTGAAGGGTACTCACTACTTACTCAATACGCTGGCCTGATTTTCTGATTGATTTCCAAAGGTCCTTCAAAGGAAATATATCCTACAAGATATAAATCAATGTCAAATGAAGTGATAAGGTTGGTGGGGTCTGTGTAGAGGTTCAATGTAAAACCCAGACTGTCACTAAACCATTCAGGGACATGCACGCACACACAAATAGCTATTAGAAAATCTAAACCCCACATACATTAGCATTTGGTGGGGTGCTGCATCCAGACACCATGGAGGTCCCTAAACATCACTTTCCTTTGTATCCACTGTCATATACTGTAACTTGTGTTTGTACATCATTCTTGTCACATTTGAATCACCTTTATGTATCGATGTTCATACATCATACATACATACATTTTAGGGGCATTAGTGTCCATTCTGGGCTACTGTAGAAACATGGCAGTTCAAGATGGCGGACTCCATAGAAGAGGACCCGCTCTCTCTGTAGATAAAAACGGTTCATTCCAAGGTAACAAAAACATAATGTTTCTTATGTTCAGGTGATTATACACTAATGAAAACATACCTATAAATATTATATCAAATTTCTGCCAATAGATCCTCCTTAATGTTACACACTGGACCTTTAATATACATTGTGTCAGTCGGTTTATAAATGCTCTCAAGTGTGCTGCACAACTACAGTTTATGTTTGCATCAAGTCCTTTCCAAATACTTTATGGGCCTTCTGGACATTTCTTGTCAGCATCTGAAATTGAATTGGCACCCTACCGCCATCTTTCTCCTCCCTTGTTTGTTCCAAGCAATATGCCAACAAATCAACAAACTGCACCAGGAAGAAAAAAAGTCAGTGATATGCTGGCAGTGCTACACACCTTTTTGCACTACCATAGTGGACAAAAGCCCTGGCAAAGGCCTGTGTATTTAGTAGTTACACCACTTTGAACCTGTTCAATTATGCATTCAGCAGCAATGGAGCAACATGGGGGAGACAGGCAGCCTCCAGGCAGCAGGGCTTAAGTATCTGGTTTAAGGCTTTGTGGCTTCCCTCTGCTTCTACGCTGATGCTCCTCTGCCCGGGCACAATGGGGGAAGAAGCCCCGCTGTAATTAGGTAATAGGTTTGGTTTGTTCAGTGAAAGTCTAAATTAAAGCAGTAGATGCCTCAAGCATAATGTATGTGCGTGTACTGTCCATATACATGTGAGCATTTAGTGTGGCTGAGGAACCCCTCCAAGCACGTTAACACACGCTGGAGGGTGGATGGGGGGGGGGGAGGCAACCATCGTGGTGCCTGGCCTAGTTGTGCATGAGGAGGATGGATGGAGGGTCGAAAGGACACATTCAGTATGATCTATTGGTAGATAGATAGATAGATAGATAGATAGATAGATAGATAGATAGATAGATAGATAGATTACTCACATTCCATGTGCTTTTTCTTTGGAGGGGTCTGTTCGTGTGTGGTGGCTTTACACACAGCTCGGGACACCTCGGATCCCGTCAGGCTGTACTGAGCCGCGGCGATGCGGTCCGTCAGCGTCTGACCCGACATCTTCTCTCTGTGGAGCTCTACCTCGACTATCAAGCGTCCAATATGGTCCTACCCCCCCACACCGAAATGACCGACCGGCCTAAGTAATCCCAGCTGCCCTCGGAAGCAGCACAGAAACACGGGACTAGAAGAGAAACAGCAGTGTGACTTTCTATTGGATTGCAGTAGAGTTGGACAGCAGTGCTGGAACTGGCTGGTTCCCACTCAGTAGTGTTGGCTCTGCACGCGTTTCTGGAACAATCATGGACTGATAGTCTAGAAGTTAAGCAGGGCTGCAGAATCCTATCCCGGGTTTTAATTTTGGCCTTATTCCTTTTCTTTTAGATCAATTTCTCACTGTTCCGCGTTATTTCTCGGCCAGCCTCCCTGACACAAAACGCTCCTCTCCGGATGATGCTCGTTGCTTCCTCCCCCCTCCTCCCTGTCTCCCTTCCTCCAGCCTCCTGGATAATCCTCCCCACCAGCAGCAGTCCGACAGTCCCTGTGTATCAGCGGGGCGTGCAGGGGAACATCAGGCCCTGGCTGGCAACATCATCATCCCCCACCATCCAGTGCGGCGGTTTATTCCTCCTCCTTCTCCTCCTCCCCTGCTGGACTTCTTCCTCTCTGCTGCGGCCCACCGTCAGCCTGCAAGCCCCGGCGATGCGCGCTTCAACCCGGCTCGTTGGATGGCGGTGCTCTCAGCGGATTTACATCCTCTTGTTTATTTAATTATTAATTTATTGCTATTTGTCACCGCGCCCCGCCCCCTCCTCCGAGTCAGGTGACGCAGTATCGCCAACCAACCCTGCTCCTGCCTGTTTCATCGCGAGAGCTGGGATGGAGGAGGTTGTGGATGGGTGAAGGACGTGAAGGGGTTAATGGAGCTACTCTACAGCCAAGCTTGATTCTTGTCACGCTGCTTCCATACTATGAAGGTCATATGAAGCGTGCTGCCTCAGGTAACATGCTCTTTGATCACGGATGCACAAAAATGACAGTAGATCTGCAGCCAGCCAGGAGGTGGCCTTTGTCCCTGTCCATGGTGCTGATGTGCTCTCCTCTGGAGTCACTGACATACACTGGGTACTCACTGGTGTGCTGGTTGTAGAATCAGACCATGTGCTTGAGTAAAAGTATGGATGCCACAGTGTAGAAGTATTCATTCACAGGTAAAAATCCTGGGGTCAAAATGCAGACATTATAGAGACATTAAATATCATTATCAGTAAAACTAGACGTACAGTTCTGCAGAAAAACGGCCCGTGTGAGTGAAGTATTAGTGTATTAGTTTATTAGGTATACCTACCTACAGTCCTGCAATAAATTCTACCATTTTGGAGGCAGTCATTTGTGGTGCTGTTGAACTGTATAGTGAGTTATATAGAGGGGGACTGTCTGCAATACAGTTAAAACAAATCCACAAACTGCAAGTCATTTGAATTAGCACAACAAAACACCCTCAAACCTTTGTTTAAATGACACCATCTGACATTGCTTTTTTGTAAGGTGTCACAGGCAAAAAGGTTGGAAACCCATGATTTAATGTTAATACAATTGTATTAAACAGCTCAAATACAATCACTTTCTTTTTTATGGAAAATCTTAATGTAAAAAGTACTGTAACTAGTAACTATAGTTAAACATGGAGTAGTACTGAAAGTGCATCAGTGGTTGTACTTGTATGTGTAGATCAATACCATGGATAGCAACAAAACCTGCTACTCAACAGGACTTAATAACAGAGGACATTCTGACACATCACTGTAGGAAAAACACATGTAAATGATCATATTAATGATGGCTGAATTCCATTTAGCTGCTACCTGGTATTGTGCATGCTGGCTCACTGTCATGACTTACTGGGACACTATAACAGAGCCATTGTTAATGTTATTAGTAACCTGTGCTTTTCTCACTATGACGGGCCTATTTGACTTATACTTGCCTGCCTAAATACAGTTATATATCCATTTATTTATTTAACACCTTTAATTCCCCACAAACAAAACAGGAACTGGTCATTTCCATCAATTATCCCCTTAACAAGCCCAGCTCAGGATATATTTTAAAGGTCATGATGACAGTGACAGAGTGCTGGTAACTCTCCCATTAGAAATCTTTATTAAGTCACATCGATATGGAATGGCACAGCATCTTAACATTGTTCAAACAGGAAATGTTAAAAGTCAGTCATCAAAGCTGCTCCGTATATACAAATAATTAAAATTAAATACAATAGCTTTTGAAAATTAAAATAATCATTATAAATACAAAAAAATGTACAAACTATTTTTCCCCCATTTTTGTTCCCTTTTTCTTTAATGTACAAGTTGAGGTTTTTCACTAGTGTTGATCAGTTATGTGTTAACCCCCCCACCCTCCCCTTTCTGTGTTCTCACGTCTTGATAAGGCCCTCTAGAAAGTCTTTCTCCACCATCTCCTCGATGTTCTGTCGAGCTCGACTCCAGAAGACCTTCTGGCTCTCCAGTTTGTGGCCCTCCTTGTGGCCAGGGAAGGAGGCGTCTGCGGGGTTGTGGCTGTAGGCGGGACCTGAGCGGCTGCTGGCCTTGCTGTTGAACACCTGGCTGAGCAGGTTGAAGAAGGGCAGCAGCTGCTCCATGCTGCGGATCACGTAGAGGGTCAGCATCAGGTGACCTGGCTCCCAGGACAGGGTTCGGGTAGAGCAGTCCTCCTCTGGGTTTTTCTACGGGAGGGGGAAATGGGTAACATGGGTTACATTTACTATCCCGGTTGAGGGAAACGCAGAATGAATGAAATGAGCTACAAATTGGGTCCTTTATTGAGCATTTCCCTGAAGATACTCTTTGTAAGAGGCAGTCATTTGTCTCCATCATTTAATAACCTTGTGTGGACAGAGGGAGGATGAGATACCTTGGCTCGTTTCCTCAGCAGCTTGGCCAGTCGCACCACGTAGGGTTTAAATTCTCTCTGGTGTGTCCCTTGACGTCTCACTTCCAGTCCTGAATCGTCTGAAGCCTCTGGGATGAAGGCCCAGCGGTACCTGTAATGAGGCAGGACTCATTCAGAAATAACACAACTTTGATCTATTTAACAAGTTACCAGAGCTTTAAAAAGGAGTGATATCCAAAGTTATTATTCATAAGTCCATTCATATGCACTCCACGTACTGAGATTGGGAAAGTCTAATTTAAAAATCTTGTTGCAAATGATTCCTGCTGTGTTCATGCATTTTAAATACTGACAGGCATATATACAGAATTTCCACTTTTTAACAAATGTCTGTTACTGATTCCCTAACCCAACCCTATTACGTGCAAAGCCTATTATGACTCAGGCTTGTCTGTACTGACATCTGGAACTGAGGCAGGCTCTCAGGAGGCAGGGCCAAGGCCAGGTCCAGGAGCTTGCAGGCAGACAGATAGAGGTTGAGCCAGCGCTGGCTGTTGTAGGAGGTGGAGAAGCCGTTCCCACCAGAATAAGTGGTCTCCAACCCAGCCACAGATGGCCCTGATGTCCTAGAGATGGACAGGAGAGGATTCATCTTCACAGGAAAATGGTCATTTATGGTGTTCACTTACTGCTGCAATATCAACAGATGATGTACCTTGATATGTCCTCATCTGCTGTTAGCTCCTGCTCCATCAGGAGAAACACCTGAACCTGATGTAGGGAAGCAGATGTAGAGTGTAAGAATTAACATGTGTGTTTTTTGTGCCAATATACATGTCTAGACAACTGAAGGAAAGAAGGCACAGTCAGTGGGCGAAAGAGTCAGTGTGGTCTGGTTCTCACCAGCTCAGTGATCATGGTGGGCCACAGTGAGGTGAGGTGTTGAGGTGACATGCGCAGCAGCAGCACTCTGAAGAACAGGAAGACCTGTGCATGGAGGATGGGCACCTGAGGCAGACGCAGGCTCTCCACCAGACGCTCTTAACACACAAACAAACTTAGTATCTGCTCAGTAACCATGTGGTAACACCTCCCAGGTACATGTACAGTATATATGTGTATTTACCTTGTATGTCTGGCAAGTATTTCTGGTACTGGTCCACTTCACTGCTGTAGATGGTGAAAGCCAGGCGTTTGAGCAGCATGGCTCTTTGCTCCAGCTCAGCGTCTCTGTTGGTGAACAGACTCAGAGAGCTGCTCTGGGCTACTGCCACCCGGGCTGAAGGGAAACACACGCAGTCATTATTAGTCTCCCTGCCAGTCTTTCATTTTTATACATTTTTTTATTTGATGGTGGAGTTTTTCTTTATCCGAATCCAGGGTCTAAGGATAGAGGGTGCCAAATGTTGTAGAGGTTGTGAAGTGCCTTCAGGCCAATTTGTGAAAGTGGGCTATATAAATAAAAGTAACTTTAACTATGTCACATCAGCATATTTCTGCAGCTGCACGGGCTAAACACTTAGTTGGAGTAGAAATGTACAGCTTGTTTGCTCAAGATCCTCTTCAGAATGCAGGTTTAATTCTGCCTGAAACGAGACACGCCAAGGGAAAAACACTGCAGTGCAAATGTCAGAAAGAAAAAGAGGATCTGGTAAATGGTCTGTAACCATACCCAGTGGCAATATCTACCCTTATTTACAAATAAGAAAAGCTTACTCATGAGGTCTCTAAATGTGGTCTTGTCATGAGTCATCAAGTGGTCAATGATGGCTCTCCAGCTGAAAGATGAGGAAAATGATGTTGATGTTAGACTAATAGTCCAGAAACATTGGGGCAAATTAACAACATCTGACAATAACATGTGCCTTTCCAAAGTTTAGGATTAGGTAAAATGTATTTACACTTTGACTTTAAAATGTATCTCTGTCTTTGAGTTCTTATTTTTAGTCTATAAACAAAGGGCAGACTGCTACAACAGTGCATCTTGAGTTAATGTGTTTTTTTCTCCCTCACTGGGGTTACATGTTAAAACCAGCTGCAAAAGTGGTCACCCACACACGGTCGGGTTTCCTCTCCTACTCACTGGCTGACGCAGGACGAATCCATCTGGAAGAAGGTGTGGTCCATGAAGAGGTCGAAGGCCTCCTTCTTCCAGGCACGGCGGGTGTACTGATACCCACTGAGGCTGCTCAACAGTTGGATGCAGGCCCGGTAGCTGGGGGCGTTGTGAGCACTGCCAGGAGAAATTGGAAACATAAAATATGCATTTGGTCACCTACGACTTATTTACGCACTCCACCTTTCTTCCTAACATTCAAAGATCTGTTTTATTTATATGCTTGACATTTCATGTGTTCCATCTTCATACTTCATTATTTTGTGATGTAAAACAATTCATAGTATACACATTTTAATTCAGAGGGAATCTCAAAGTAGTAACAAGCTTATCCCCACCTGTGGTTGCGGAGGTAGGGCACCACGTAGTGCATGATATTAACCAGCAGTGGGATCACCCTCTCCTTCTCGTCACTGTAGAACACCATGTCCAACAGATGAGCCAGCACCTGACAAATACATTTATCATCCATTCATGTCAGTCTTACACCACGTGCTTTCAGTAGGCATGGCAACATTGAGTTATAAAAGCTGAAAGCAGGCAGTCCTTTCTATATATTGAGCTACTCTGATTCCTTGGCTGGGAGATTATATACAGGCTGATATAACTGCAACAAGCAACAGTATGACTAACTGCACTGCAGCATTATGTTGATATATTGCCATGAATAAACCCATGAATCTATAAGTTGCAAACAGCAGTGAAGCACTGGCAAAATCTGCTAAATTAGCTCTACATTGAGCTAAAATAGAT